CAGGGGGAGGAGCAGGAGGACCAGGAGGGGGAGGAGGACGAGGAGGGGGAGGAGGGGGAGGATGATGATGATGGACGACAATGGGAGGACGATGATGGAGGCCGATGAGGGGGAGGACGACAATGGGAGGACGATGATGAAAGGACGAGGGGGGGAGAGGGAGGACGAGGAAGAAGAGGAGGACGAGGTGGAGGAGGAGGATGACGATGAGGACGAGAACGAGGACGAGGACGAGGAAGAGGAGGAGGAGGAGGAGGAGGAGGAGGAGGAGGAGGAGGAGGAGGAGGAAGGGGAGGAGAGCGCCATCGACAAGGAAAGTGGAAGCCACGAGGTCCGCCGGCTCGACGACGCCCGCGTCGCCCGCGCCCGCCCCCTCACTCTTATCCGCAATTGCGGGGTGCTACGTAATCTTCTCTACCCCTACTATACTGTGCTCTACTCCTACTCTACTCTTGCTCTACCTCTACTCTGCTCTGCCCTACTCTACCCCCACTCTGCTCTACTCTGGTGTACCCTTCTCGTCTATTAGCTACACCACTCTGCTGTACTCCATTCAACTCTACTCTGTTATACCCGACTCTACTCTACCAACTACTCTGATCTACTCAACTCTACCCTACAATGCTCTCCTTTACACCTGCCCTGCTCTGCCGGCCCTACCCTACTCTACTATATTCCACTCTATTCCACTCGACTCCTGCTGTGCAATACTCTACTCTCCTCTGCTGTTCTCTACTCCGCTCTACTCTATTATACTCCTTTGTGCCAGCTGTACTCTACCATCTGCCCCACTCTACTTTACCCTACTCTATTCAGCTCTACTCCACCTACTCCTAGCTTACCCTAACATGCCTACCCTATCCTACCCTATCCTGCCCTACCCTACTCTACTGTACTCGACTCTACTCTCCTCTAACCTGCTCTACTGTACCTTACTTTACGCCTCCTCTGCTCCACTATACGCTCCTCTCCTCTCCTCCACTCTTGTTGGGACGCCCTTGGAATAGCCACAGACAGCCATTGGACTAGCAGAGGGAGCCATGCGGACAGCAGAGGGCGCCATGCGGCTTGCAGAGGCAGCCATGCGCAACAGAGGAAGTCATGCGAACAGCATTGGGCGCCATGCGCAACAGAGGGAGCCACGCGCAACAGATGATGCCATGCGGATACCAGAGGACGCCATGCGCAACAGAGGAAGCCATATGCAGCAGTTGACGCTTCAGGGGCAACATCGGGGGGGGGGGGCAGTGTACCATTTCTGTATGGATGGAGCTATGACTACTTATAGGCACGCTGCTGTGGAGACTGGGAAGGCTGTCGGGCAGCGCGCGAACAGGCCGTTTTTGGGTGGTGGCGGGCGGTTGTCGACACATGGCAACCTGAGCATCGCCAGGCTCAGCGGACGTGTTTTCCCGCTCCTTAACGCGCATGGCCATATGTACTCACCAGAACCACGCGCGCGCTTCGCGCGCGCTTAGGTTCTAGCAAACCCCAGGCCGTGACAAGTTCACAGACCCTCTGAAACAGTTACCCACACATGGCATGACGATGAGGCACACCGAAGCGTCAAACAACCAAGGCCGAACAGATATCGATCACATACAATGGCAACTCCATACAAGACAATGCGAACCAACGCCACGTAGTAAAAAAAATATTCAGAATGGGGTGCCCACACTGGCACTGCAATGCAACGCAGTGCCATGGAAACCAGATGCGAGCGCCATGGAGCGAGAAGCACAGCAAATGAAAGGCAAGGCAATGCGATGCAATCCAACGAATTGCAAAGCAGAACAATGCTCACCAACGCAATGCTGTTTGCGGAGCCATGCCTGTGCACATCCGTCGGAAAACAACCAAGTGAAAAACAATGCAATATAATGCACAATAACGAAAGAAGCCGTACGAACCCGAGGGTTCCAGAACCTCAGGGATCCCAGGGTTAAGGTGTGCAAAACAAGTAAGTGGTGGATGCCCCGATTCCGCCGTTGGTAAACATCCATATGACGTTAGCGCACCAGCTCGTCCTTCTCCTCGCCCCCCTCCTCCTCCTCCTCCTCCTCCTCCTCCTCCACCTCCTCCTCCTCCCTCTCGCAAATTATCCTCTGGCTGGTCGGCTGGCCCCGACCGGCGACAATTTAGATTGCCACACATACCTGTTACATGGAAAAAGAAAAGTAACGAATTTCCCCCCTCAAGCTGCCCGGAAATAGCTGTCACAAGTAGCCCCCCGTCCATCGGCCACGCGGCCAGGACAACCTGTATGTCTTCTAAGTTGGCCACGGGAAGAGGGGTGAGAAGCAGCGTAAAAGGACTGCGAAAGAGACCGAAAGTTGCAAATTCCCCAGCGCTTGTTTTTGCAAGCACCCAGAAAGGCTCCAGGGCAGCCGCTAGGAAGACCCAGGGCAGCCTGATGGGGTGATGCCCGAGAAACACTAAAAGAGCTTCGCAACACCATGCTGAGAGTCTCTTTGGATGCCTTTTTGGGGCGCTCTTTGAAGGCAATTTGAAAAGTTGTTTGGTTTCTTGGAAGGCATCTCAGAGGTCTCTTGTCATATTTGAAGCCTCTATGGGGGCCTCTTGATGCTTCTGGGGGGGGGGGGGGGGGGGGGGGGGGGGGGGGGGGGGGGGGGGCGGGCGCTCCTGGGGCCTCAGCCTGCCTGTTGGGGCCCTGCTAGCGGTCTCGGGGGCCGTCTTCGGGGGACGGGCTCGCTCTGTGAGTTCGGGTTCCGCCTCTTGTGCCCCTCTTGGGGCTCTCCTGGAACGCTCTTAGGCTGTATTAGGGGCGTTCTGGGCTGTCTTGAGGCCGTGTCGGGGGCCTCTTCTTGGGCCGTCGTGAAAGATTTTGGGGAACTCTTGGGCTGTCTTAGAGAATTGGAACCGCGAGAGAGCAAGAACACGACAATCGTTGAAAGTTCTGTTGGGACTCAATATTTGTTGTCTCTTGGTGCTTTCGGCCCACGTCGCCGCCATTCCTGGGTTGTGGGTAAGGCCTCTTGATATTTCGTTCGGGTATCGTGCAAGTCCTCTCGAGGGCTTTTCGCAAGCAGCTTTGAAGCCTCCGGGGGAGCGCTGTTGAGCCTCGTGGGGCCTCTTTTGGCCTCCTGGGTGCCTCTTGGAGCTTCCTGGGGGCCTCTTGGGGCGGAAGGCTCGAATTGTCGGTTCGCGTTCCCCACCTTGGGCACCTCTTGAGGCCGTCCTGAGGCCCTCTTGTGCCGCCTTGGGAGCCTCTTGGGCCGTTTGGGGGCCATCTTGGGCCGTCTCGGGGGCCTCTTGGGCCCTTTTGGGGCGAGGTTGGAGGCTTCTTGGGCAGTCTTGGAGTGTCGAAAATCAGAAAACGCGAGAACGCGGAAAACATTGAACAACGAACTGAATATCAATGATTTTGGCCTCTTGGGGCCTTCTTGGAGGTCCTCTCGGAGCGCTCTTAGGGCCTCTTGGGGGCCTCTTGGGCCATCTTGGGGCCATCTAGGACGTCTTGGTGCGCTCTTGGGCCGTCCTGACGGCCTCTGGGCGTTCGCTGCGGGGGCCAAGGAGGACCCTCGAGGCGCAGGGAACGCCCTGGAGCGTTCAAAAAGACCCGCCGGTGCCAGGGACTAAAGTGGGTTGCGGGGGGTAGGGGGGAATTTTGAAAAAGAGTGGACCCCAAGGCCCGGGGACCCGGTCGCCTGTTATACATATATATGTATATACAGATCGATCTGATTACATAGCTAATGAATATATATATATATATATGTATATATATATATATATACAGCTCATTGGTGTGAATACATGTAGATACATCTACATATTTACATTTAGATATATACACCTCCTTTGTCGCGCATGAACATATACGATCTTTAGGCGTCTAGGAACTGCTGCTTCCGAGCTGGCAGGGGGCTTATTAGCCATGGTGCGGGTACCAGGGCGGGGGTTGGGTGGAGATATGTCCCCTGTAAGTGTGTCAACTCCGCTTCCCGCCCCGCTTCCCACATACACTGCAGTCTATGTTCAGCTGGCTGTATAGCTTTGCACGCCAGGAGGCTCGACTCCAGCCTGCTTGGTGATACGAAGCCACTCCCAGTGTGAACCGCCCCGCAAGCCACAGGTGGATGCCCCGAACAATCTTCGTCTTCATCCTCCCTTCCGCCCTCCATTCTCTGTGCATGCCGCCCTCTGCGATGCGCGTCTCAAGCAACCCCACAGAAGATCGCAAATGCGCGAACAAGTAATCTGATATGTTCGTGCTACATACAGACCCACAGCAGTAGGATACGCCTGCAACCCATAAAGTAATTCCAACGACGAACCAACACTACTCACGCACCGTGAAGCTCAATCTTCTCCAGGAGACAGCTCGTATCAATAAATGCAGAGGCGTAGGGGGTGGGACCAGGGCAGACTGAGGGGCGGCATGGAACAAGAGGGTGGTCCCACCGACGTGAGAGCCGGGATGGGCATCCCCCTCTTCGTCTCGCTCCCTCCTCCTGCTCATCCTCCATCTCCTCTTCTTTCTCAGTGTCTCTTTCCTCCTCATGCTCCTCTCTAGTGTTAGGTCGGGCATGTCCCCTTACAGGCAGATTTTGGAGGAACAGTTTATAATACTCAAAACAATATACAACACAAATACAAAAAATCGTCCCCAGAGTATTTTTGACTATTTCTGAATATTCCTCCTGTAGAGGGGTAGGCCCGACTTACCTCTAGTGCGTTGGCATCCGCGCCACCAAGAGGCCGAGCGGTCCGTAGGCCGGAACGCGTGGATCCAGGGGCGCGCCAAGTGCGGCGCCGCCATGAGGTGGGCCTGCCGCCCCGTCGGGAAGCCGCTGCGGATCCTCCTCCTCCTCCTCCTCTTCCTCCTCCTCCTCCTCCTCCTCCCCTGTCCTGCTCCTCCTCCTCCTGCTCCTCCTCCTCCTCCTCCTCCTCCTCCCCCGTCCTGCTCCTCCTGCTCCTGCTCCTGCTCCTGCTCCTGCTCCTCCTCCTCCTCCTCCTCCTCCTCCTCCTCCCCCTATTTGAGCGGCGCCCAAGGTGGCGAGAGAACTCTCGGTCCCGCCTGCGGATTCGCAGAGCACTTCCCCAAAACGGGGCCATCTTGACAGCGCTGACCGGCCAGCGAAGCAATCGCCAGCCAGGGGGAGGGAGAGGAGAGCAGGCACAACATGCATCAACGATGCTGTATGCAACGCGCCATCCTGTCTCCAGTCGTCCCCTTCTCGCGCGTCCCTGGAAGCATTCCTTGTTTCACTCTGGGAAACGCCCGCGTGTAAGACAACTGTCCATTGGGCTTTCCGTTCAGGCGAGGGCACACACTCAGAAACGAACTGCGCTGATTTGTTTCTTTGTTTGCTTCTTCCTTCGTCGCCCTCGTCCTGAGACACAGAACGTACACTACGAGCGGTTGACCAACGCGCAAGTTTCAAATTCAACGACGGCCGCAAGTATAACACAGGCCCAAGGCTCCTGGGGTGGGCGACTCGACCAAAACCGAGCCGTAGGAGGTAAATGTAGTAAGTGTCGGAGGAAGAAATGTATGAGGGGTGGCCTCCCTCACTGGGAATCGCCTCGCCATGGTCTCATGGACAGATCCATGAAATTATTTTCGATATCCACGCTGACGACGCGCACTTTCACCTCTTCGTCGACGCGGAGTTCTGTATTGATGTTCCTCACGGGCTTCCCAAGCTTTATCTTAGAGATAGGCACGATGCCCACCTGGTTCCGTCAGTTCTATAAAGGCGCCCTTTGGGGAAAGCCAATTGACCCTTCCCTTGAGCCATGTCGACGGTGCGATTTTCAAGAATGTTCCGAAGTCAGGAGCTACCTTCGTCTTCAGTGCAGGATTCGGTACGACAGAGCTCCTCATGCTGAATGACAACTTTTCACCCTTGCCTCTTACGTCCACGAGCCTCAACCGGACCACCTTCCCGACCTCAACGACACTGCTGATGTCTTCCACGAACGTCTCTGACATGTGGGATACGTGAACGAAGCCACGGACTTGCTCGACGCCGTCCACTTTCACATCGACGAACGCACCGCAAGGAACGACTCTCACGACCTCGCCGTCAAGCCATTCATCACCGATTTCCCATGCGAGCGCACTGAGGTTGGTAAAACGACGTCCACCCTGACCATACCTCCTACCCATGATCATGGTCAACCTAAACTTGCTGTCATCATCCAGGGCGCAGGTCCAAACTTTGACTTCCTGGTCCTCTTCGAGCAGCGTGTGGATGTCGTCGACCCTGCCCATAAATATGTCGCTCACGTGCAGCAGCCCCTCTCTGTTGGCACCGACGCCAACAAAAGCACCAACCTCTTCGACGCGAGTCACGGTGCCAGTGTATACCTGGCCAACCTTGAGCTTGTCATAAGGGATTGGCGGGACCTTCATATCATTAGCGCTCACGACCGATTCCTCGGGACCGCCATCAACATTTTCCCATCTAACCTGAAACGTGCCGTCCGTGTTTCTCTTGAGCACCGTGCCAAGGTACATCAGACAGTCTTCAGGAAACTTCGCAAACACCTCGTCGCCAATCCTGTAATCCCGCTTGGTCTTCACTATTTTCATGCTCTCGCAATGGACGTCCGCATGCTCGACCCCCCATCAAGACCGTCCCACCTGACGCGGAACTTCTTCTGCCCCAGGACCGCCGCAACCGTGTCAGGGTACCAGAGGCCGTCGTCTTGGGAAATGGCCTTGCAGTCGTCGCCCACCGCGTGGTCCCAGCAAAAGGTTCTCATCTAGATGGCCTCCTCATAGAGCGTGTCCGTCTCTGGCCCACCGTCTGGATCGCCCCAGGCAATCAACCAAGAACTGCCGACCGCATCTTTGATCCTGCCAGGATACCACCTGCCGTCGTCCGGCGACTTCGCTCTCACCTTGCACCCGACCTCCAAGGCAACACCACCCCCGCCGCCATCCGTGGCGGCCATTGCGGCCAGCGGGCGGGCGACGTGCACCTCTCTAAGCCGGGCGGCAAGCAGCTGGCTACGCAGAGGTAACCAAGGTGGGCCACCGCCAACTGGCACGCAGCGGCCAGCGCAAGGGCAGCCGCGATGTCAGACCCTCCGCTCCGCCGCCTGGCCTCCAAACCGGCCATCCCTTCCTCGAAGACTAGCCGCTGGACTGGGACATGTGTCAAACCGACGGACGTCCCTGCGACGGGGGTCAAAACTGCCTGAGCCCAAAGGGCTTGAGCCAAAATGGCTACGGAACGAACTGCCCTGATTCTTCACAGCTAAGCAGACTGCGAATCTGTATGACCATCGAACAAAATTCAATGTCGCACCCAACAAAGACCATGTTTAGAAAAATAACCGCCTTCCATCCATGCAACTGTTGCACAGTCTTGCAATCACGGCCATTATGTACGAGAACGTCTCAAGGGATAGCCCCGTTTTGAAGAGGAAACTCCCTCCACCCTTGTCTAAGCACTGGAGATTTTTGAGACGAATGTGCTCTGCACCAAAACGAGAACCACATAACGAAAACCACCAGCCCTCCACCCGTGTAGCTGTTGGAAGATTATAAGACGGCTGCGCGCGTCGCGAAGGCGGGGGGCACATTTGAAAACCATTCGCCAAACATCCTCGTAAGAACGTCGATATTGAGAAGATAATCTGCACGGCGCTAGAGCGAGAACCCTGTTTTGAAAACGACCCGCCCTGCATCCACGTATGAGTTGGACATGTCAAGCTTCAGACCATGTACGGTGAAGAAGTCTCATGCGAAACAGCCAGCCCGCCCTACCGACACGTCTGGTAGTGCGATGGGGAGGAGTTCCTTTTAATAAAGAGGGGCGGAGGAAGATGAGTAGGAGGCGGCGCGCGGGAATCAGTTGTCTGCCTAGCTCGTTTAGAGGCTTAGGGCTGCCTTCACATGCTTAAGGTCTTGGCGCAGGCAGGCGCTGGCCTGAATAAATATCTTCGACCGATTTGGTAAATCCAAACCGGTCGAACACAGTTCATGAGGCCAGCGCTGTGCCTCAAGAACTGTTTTCAGCCACTCGGGTCTCTATGTCCGCTTGGCCCTGCCATAGTTGATGGATGCACCAACTACGGGCTGGAACTTAACTGGGATTCGACTCTCCAGATGCAAATCTGCACGAACGAAATTATATGTCAGCCGAGTGGAGAACATGTGAAAACCGCTCGCGATGCTGAATACTTGGATGGTCTCATTATATGCGAGACTTGGCCAAGCGCATAATCTTTAAGGACATTTGATGAAGCTACCAGGGTTTTCAAATTGTTATTCAACATCCGTTGGCAATCGTCAATTGGCTGTAGGGAGACGCTCAAAGTATACGACAGTTGCGTTGTAAGCAAACTATTAGATCCACTGGACTCGCTGTGGTTGTGGACAGAGGGCGAACGCAGACTAGACGCATTTCGTGCTAGATGTGTTCGGCGAGTCGAGGGAATACCATGTCCATTTTTATATCTGGATCAGCGATGCAGAGGTGGACAAGCGAGCTGGTACAGTGGACCTGTCCCAGACATTACTTTCAAGGCAACGGCAATGCATAAATATTGTGACAGAGTATCAAGACGCAACAATCCGGTCGATTCGTGGCGTTGGGGTTCCGAGAATGGTGTTTTGGCAAGCTTCGGGATCTTCAAACGGTTGTCTCACGACTGGGGAATTCCCTCGGTGGAAATCAACCCTAGTAGGGGCCAGTGAAGAGGGAAGTTGGAGGGAGGGTTGGTTCCAACATCGTTGATGAGTCTTGGGTTTGCACTGGTCCTCCTCCTCCTCCTGCTCCTCCTCCTCCTCCTCCTCCTCCTCATGCTGTTGTCGCGCTGCTGGCCTCAGCCGTTGCCCCTGACGATGAGGGTCGGAAGTGTTCGACCTGCTACAATGATACAGTCAAGCCGCATAAAAAGGACGCAAAATAGGGCCTTGGAGGGCCATGTTGACGTTCTTCGAGTTTGGGCTGGCCAGCGAAAGTGGCCAAGGATGGGCCGAAGGGGAAGAATGCCACTCATCCTTGATCTGCGGGTTGACTACTCGACTTCAAACAATGCGGGCAGCACCCTCTGGCTGTCGACCCCTATGTGAGGCAACGTTTCGAATCCCCGGCGATCTCTCTGAGTGCCGTCGACAAGGGGGGGCGGATCTACTTGGCCGGGGTGTGGGCGCATGCGTCTCATTCTCAGCGCATTCCTGTGCGGTCGACGCGTCGATACAGCTGGACCTGGGACAGAAGAACATCTTTCATGAACATGAGACCCTCCGCCGGCCAAACTGAAGTACATTCGAGGGTACCCTTCCCCAGAATGCACAATAACATCCAACACACAAGAAGAACATCAGGGTACCCTCCCCGAACATACCTTGATCTTATACCTCGGTCCGACCGCATGCAGACCGTGTGGAAGTGTTGGCCGAGACCAGCTGCGCATGTTCAGCCAAAGGCGTGAATGCATCGACCGATGTATGAGGGCGCTTGAGGCACAAGGGTCTTGCGTAATTGCTGGGTGGCTGTGGATCTAGCTTTGCACCTGTTCCGACTCCGATTCCGAATCCCTGCTCCTCCGTCAAAGCCGGCCCCTGGATCTCTGCCGGAGCGCCAGTGTCCAGCAGGCGTCGCTCAAGCATACAAGTTTTGGGACCTGCTGGTGCTGCAAATGGCTGGCTGCGCCCTCTGTGGACGAGAAGGCGACCATGGCTACGCTGCCTGTCCTACCCATGCCTCCCCCCTCTTCCCGAGGAGGGGGAGACGTTCCCCCAAAAACCCGCACTGCACCAACAACTCGGCGGCGACGATAAGGGCGAATTGCTCAGGGGCGGGCATTACACGTATTCGCCTGGGAGCCTTCTCGAAGACATAGATCATCGGCACACCTGAATACATGTATTCCTCTCCCCTGGGCTATTCGTCCCTGTCGTCACCTCTGAGTCAAGGCCTGCGCGACGCGCCGCCTGCTGCAGCCGGCGGGTGGGACACCACCGTTCGACAGCCAGCCCGACGACCCCTCGCCCTGCTGCTCGGAGGCTGCCAAAGGTTAAGTCGGGCCCGTCCCTCTACAGGAGGAATGTTCACAAATAGTCAAAAAATTGTCTGGGGACTATTTTTTGAATATGTGCTGGCCACATGGGAGCATTTTTTGCATATTTTTGATTCTTCGTGAGACTTCAACCAGAGGTGATCCTGCGCCGACTTCAGCCAGAGGTGATCCACTTCAGCCAAAGGTGATCCTGCGCCGAGGTGCCCCCCGCAGCCCTTCCGGGGAGGCCCAGAGGGCCCCAGGGGCTCCAAAATGGTTCGACGAGCCCGGAGGTTAAGTCGGGCGTGTCCCCCTACAGGGGGATCTTGTGCGAACATTTTAAACATACACCAAACATGCCCCCAAAAAGGCAAACATAGTGAAAGCATCGTCCCCAGACTACATTTTTAAAACATTTATCTTTCCCAACCATCCTGTTGTGTTGGGTCCTCGTTTTGAAGAGACGGCGCCACGCGTCACCTCCTCCTCCTCACTCCTCCTCCCCTTCCTCCTCCTCCTCCTCCTCCTCCTCCTCCTCCTCCTCCTCCTCCTCCTCCTCCTCCGCGAGGTACTGGTGAGCTCCACCGCAGGCCCCAGTGGCACAGGCCGCATGCGGGGGCCGCCGCCCATTTTGGCACACCCCTCACACGGTTCGTGGCCCCACAGGGAGCTCCACCGAAGGCCCCAGTGGCGCAGGTTGTATGCGGGGACCGCCACCCTTTTCGGCACACCCCTCACAGGGTTCGTGGCCCCACAGGGGGCTCCACCGAAGGCCCCAGTGGCACAGGCCGCATGCGGGGACCGCCACCCACTTTGGCACACCCCTCACACGATTCGTGGGCCCACAGGGAGCTCCACCGAAGGCCCCGGTGGCACAGGCCGCATGCGGGGACCGCCACCCAGCTTGGCACACCCCTCACACGGTTCGTGGCCCCACGGGGAGCTCTACCGAAGGCCCCAGTGGCACAGGCCGCATGTGGGGGCCGCCGCCCATTTTGGTACACCCCTCACACGGTTCGTGGCCCCACAGGGAGCTCCACCGAAGGCCCCAGTGGCACAGGCCGCATGCGGGGACCGCCACCCAGCTTGGCACACCCCTCACACGGTTCGTGGCCCCACGGGGAGCTCCACCGAAGGCCCCAATGGCACAGGTCGCATGCGGGGACCGCCACCCATTTTGGCACACCCCTCACTCGGTTCGTGGGCCCACACGGAGCTCTACCGAAGGCCCCAGTGGCGCAGGTTGTATGCGGGGACCGCCACCCTTTTCGGCACACCCCTCACAGGGTTCGTGGCCCCACAGGGGGCTCCACCGAAGGCCCCAGTGGCACAGGCCGCATGCGGGGACCGCCACCCACTTTGGCACACCCCTCACACGATTCGTGGGCCCACAGGGAGCTCCACCGAAGGCCCCCAGTGGCACAGGCTGCATGCGGGGACCGCCACCCATCTTGGCACACCCCTCACACGGTTCGTGGCCCCACAGGGAGCTTCACCGAAGGCCCCAGTGGCACAGGCCGCATGCGGGGGCCGCCGTCCATTTTGGCACACCGCTCACACGGTTCGTGGCCCCACAGGGAGCACTACCGAAGGCACCAGTGGCACAGGCCGCATGCGGGGGCCGCCGCCCATTTTGGCACACCCCTCACACGGTTCGTGACCCCACAGGGAGCGCTACCGAAGGCCCCAGTGGCACAGGCCGCATGTGGGGGCCGCCGCCCATTTTGGTACACCCCTCACACGGTTCGTGGCCCCACAGGGAGCTCCACCGAAGGCCCCAGTGGCACAGGCCGCATGCGGGGACCGCCACCCACTTTGGCACACCCCTCACGCGATTCGTGGATCCACAGGGAGCTCCACCGAAGGCCCCCAGTGGCACAGGCCGCATGCGGGGGCCGCCACCCATTTTGGCATACCCCTCGCACGGTTCGTGGCCCCACAGGGAGCTCCACCGAAGGCCCCAGTGGCACAGGCCGCATGCGGGGGCCGCCGCCCATTTTGGCACACCCTTCTCACGGTTCATGGCCCCACAGGGAGCTCCACCGAAGGCCCTGTAAGGAGCTCCCCTTTCGTCGTCCCAGCTGACCTGCGGTAATCACACCTGCAGATGGTTGGATCCTTCGCTAGGATAACAGGATTTTCTTCCTGTAGAGGGACAGGCCCGACTTAGGCCTGGGGCCGCCTTGGGGCCTTGGGATCACCTGCTGGCAACCTTCGGC